AACAAAGAATCAAAAAAAGAAGAAGAAGAAAATACCAGAAATAACAGCTGTGTTTGGCACACCGAAAATTGAATATCCTAGCTAGACATATTTGAAATTCCAACTGTGAACCAGACGATATAGAATGAAAAGATTGTATCTTACGAAAAGGATTTGGATTTAGATTTAGATTTGGATATATAAAGCGAAAAGTTAAGGAAATAAAACAAGACTTTTCTTCTGACCAATAGAAGCTGTACATATGGTAAAAAAGGATATATGTATGTAAGGAATATGATATATATATATATATATGATATCGTAGGGAACATGTTTAAGCTACATTTTGCAAAGAGTTTCGTCAAGATTTCAAGTTATAATATATATGTCTGTTATTCACGAGATTTAGCACCAATTTCAATGTCAAATAGGGGTCTTACATTCTAAAGATTATGATATAGTTTGGTCAAACTTTGAACCGATTGTTACGATATGATATAGTGTTCCGATATTACTGAGACGCAACTCAAAATCGTATTCTATATATAAATCATAATGCCCAGCTCTAGGGTATAGACAACCCCGGCGACAAGGGTTGGGGTGCTGCGAAGTAGGAATTCGGGGGTTGTTTACAATGTTTGTTGTGTGCGAGTGTGTGTGTGTGTGTGTGTAACATGTGGCACGTTCTAATGTCGTCTTTTTATTGCCCGGAAATTTCGTTCGCCGAGTTTCTCGAGATTTCTTCATAGTTTGAGTTTCGGTCTGGCGTCTATTTCCGTTTTTATGAGTTCGCCTTTGTCTGCATTTGCCTTTGGCCGCGCTTCGCATTGCATTTGGCTGCCACTTGGCAGTGACCTTGAGCAGCTGCTGACGCTGGCCGCCCTCCCAGCAACAATATGCCCGACGTATCTTTCCATCTCTCGACGGTTTTTATTTTTGTTTCCAGCTCCTAAGTTGGGAACATGCGACTCCTGTCTCGTCACGTCGGAGCGTATCAACAAATGTTATTGACCTCTAGCCTTAGACGTGTTCCCCATCGAATGGGGCTAGCATAGAGGTGTTCAGTGCGCACATGATGAACTGTTAGATACCCTACAACACAATCAATAAAGCAGCTCTCTCTCTCTCTCTCTCTCTCTCTCTCTATTGCGTGTTGCTCAACAAAATTGCAGGGTATTCATAAGTCTTTGAACCAGCTACTCGACCCGAGCTATTTACGCTAGTTAAACACTAAATTACAGGGTATTCAACTAGCTATATCTCCAAATTCTAAATTAATACCTAAGCTTACCAAGGTCCAAAATAATACCGAAGCGTAGCCCTTTAATACAGGGTATTCGCCAAAGTCGACAACAATAACTTAGTCTTAATTACAGGGTATCTACCTATCCAAGCAGCCAAGCTGCAAATACTTGCAGTTCCTTTTATTTTTCTCACATTTCCATTTCGCACCTTCCTCCAGCATAAAATTACAGGGTATGAATTGAAGTTTATTTGAAATCTTTTTACTTTTATAAATGCCAAGTACTCCCATCTGCCCCGCCGCTACCCGCTGATACCCTAACAATTACAGGGTATTTACCTAGATTATTTTACATAATAATTACGTGGCCTCGTAAGCGCCTGATTATCAGCTTATCAGCCCGGGGTTGGGTTCCACAACAAATTGTTGTGCATGACGTAAACTTAAGATTAAAGACCGAACCGCATCGAGCTCTGTTTTCGAGCTGCTGCCTGCTGGAAATCGGACTCCGTGTTGGCATTCGACGATGAAACTACTTCCTTTCCGTAAACGATGCATTTTATCCAAAACCAACTGTTCACGTATTGCCCCAACATGATATGCACAGCAAGCGAATCGGTTATACGATATAAACGGATTCCAATGGGCCGTACGAGTCGCTTGTAAAAACCGAACAAAGCTTTCTGTCAAAACTGAGTCAAATTGCACTCTAATATGTGAGACTTGACAAAATGCTTTCATACAATAAATTATCCTTCGATGGCTCGATTCCCCTTAAAGGGAATTTTGAATCCGATTATCTGTGCTAAAGAGAAAAGTCTTGGCAGAGTTTCATCAAGCCTCACTGGAACCTGAGTTCCCATGGATCTATATAGCATAGCCGTGAATCTATATATGATGCAATGTGACAATCGGAATAGTTTTTGGGATGAGATCAACTACTATCAAGAGCAGCAAGTGCACCAAATTTCAGCCTCATAGCTTCACTAGAAGCTGAGTTACCATAGGTCTATACAACTTAGCCTCGAAATAATATATGATATAATGCGACAATCTCAAGGTTGCTTTATATTATGGCAACTATTTTCAAAAGCAGCAACTGTACCAAATTTCAGCAACTCTGCCCTATTAGAAACTGAGTTCCCAAGGGTCTATATAGCATAGCCGTGAATCTATGCATGATGCAATGTAACAATCTGAATAGTTTTTGGGATGAGATCAACTACTATCAAGAGCAGCAAGTGCAACAAATTTCAGCCTCATAGCTTCACTAGAAGCTGAGTTACCATGGGTCTACATGGACTGAAAGCCTTAGAAATGTCGTGTTTAAGCCAATCTCAATGTATTTTTCTATATCGGAATTTTGTTGATGTGCTGTGCAAATAACCTTTGGCAATAAAAGTAGCATTTTCCCAGAGTCACAAACATGCCAAAGCTGCCAACGAGCAAGATCTTAAACAAGAGGGCACAGCTCGTTTACACAGAACGTGATGTATTTGGTTTTTTTTTGCTCGCTGTATCTTTTTTTTATGCTGTTTCATTTTTTTTTTTTTTTCTGCTGTTTGCTTTGATGAGACAATGTCACAAAAGTCAATTGAAGAACTCAACGCAACGAAGAACTGGAAGCATCCATTAGATTAGGCGAGAGGCCGATGATAAGAAGCAACAAGCGACGCCTCGATTAGAGGCTGAAATTTCCTCTAAATATAGTATGCTTCATGTGTGTGCGAGTGTGTGCGAGTGTGTGTGTGTGTGTGTGTCGGATCTTTTTGGGTGGTGTTGTCCGTCCAGGCGTAGAGCCAAATTAGCGCCGCATGACAATGATAGCGCCTCAAGGCGCTTTCAATTTAGACAATTACGCAACTGTAAATGGAATTGGAACTGTGCGCCCGGAATTGGCACAACGTGGGCGGCAATTCTAACCTCAACAAGTATGAGGTTCTAGGCGGCAGCTCCCGACTAGCAGATACCCTGAACCCTCTTCTTCTTCCAACATCAAATGCAATATTAGAAGCTATATTGGTGACTCTAGCTCTTATTATTACTAAAAAAAACAGGATATCGATATCGATATCGATTTATCGATTGCTTGAAAACGGAGTAAATTATCGATTATCGGAAACAAACTCGATCTGCGCGGGAACTAGGAGCACCCACATCTCCAGCTCTTATAGGTTCTGAGATCCATGCATTCATACTTACGGACGGACGGACGGACGGACGGACAGACGGACATGGCTAGATCGGCTCGGCTTTTGATGCTGATCAAGAATATATATACTTTTTGGGGTCGGAGATGCTTCCTTCTGCCTGTTACATACATTTGGATTTTGCACAAATACAATATACCCTTATACCCATTTTTATTGGGTACAGGGTATAAAGAAAAAAAGCGCAGCTAAATCAAGAAATAACCCAAAAGCTAATTGAGCTGGATTAAATGGCTTTCGCTTAATGAAATGTCAATATAAATTCAATACTTTGTTTTTTTTTTTTTTTTGTTGTGTTGCACTGATGAGCCCCAAAGCCGACTCGATCAACCGCACAGGTTGCGATCCGTTTGATTGAGGGTCGCCAATCGTAAGACAACTCAAGGCAATCGCTGGCGACGACAGCCCGCCGTCCCCATTCCCCCCGCGCCCAGTCCCCGCCCCCAGCCGCAGCCACAGCGACAACTTTCAAAACTAGTCGGCACAGCGAAACTAACGGCTCGGCCAGTTGATACCCTGTTTAATTGTAAATAGGTGCATATCATATATAGATTCCAGATTAACATTTTAGGCATCTAAGCTGCACGAAAAATTGTGGAGCTAATGTAGATATGGTAACATTAAATGGGATTCTATTAATATAAATTATATATACATAGAGAGTACTTAAATGTTTCATATACTTATATCTATCTATCTACACTAAAACTTTATTAATATATATGCTTAGTCCACGTTACTCTGAGTTTAATGGGTATGTCGAGTCGTATATAAGTTAAACTCGACAGTTTTTTGGCTGTTAGCCCACGTTTAAATGAGTTTAATGGGTATGTACACGATAAACTCGACAGTTTCTGGCTCTAAGCTGACATATCGCTGAGTTTACTGGGTATCTCCAGTCGTATATTGATTAAATCGCCAATTGTTGGCTCTAAGCTCACGTTACGCTGAGTTCACAGGGTATTTCCAGTCGTATACTCGACAATTTCAATGCCAAATTGTGCATAAACTTTTGAGCATTTGCACAGCATACCCCTTGACAAACAATTGACAGTTACAGGGTATAAACAGTCGTTGAAATGTGTGTCACAGCGCTGCAGTTGCAGTTGCAGCGGCCGCCAACAGATATCAATCTGTCGATTAACCAATATTGCCGCAAAAACTATCAAATTGCATAGCTCAATCCCATCACAATCTACACCTCCCCCCCCCCCCCCCCCTCCCGCAACCAACCCCTTCACACGCACGATCAGGCTGCTGCTGGGCGTGAACAGAACGCGCATCTAACCCGTTCCATTCCATTTCATTTCGTGCCGCGCAGCGAAACAAAAAAAAAATAAATGCCGCCTTTTATTGTTGTGTGAGAAACTTTACTCATGTTCAACTTAGCTTAACTTACGTGTATATGGTATATATATATATATAAAACGTACATTTTTGTTTGTTTAATAATGAAAAAAAAGAAAAAAAAAATAGCGAAGAAGAAAAATAGGTAATCAAAGGCAACAACAAGCTGTTTGCGTTTGTTTGTCTGTTTTGTTTACAAAGCTATGTTTGTGAGGGCTCTCTCTCTCTCTCTCTCTCTGGCTGGCTGGCTGTCTAGCATTTCAGCAGCGTTGCCAGATCGTTAACAGCAACAACAGTGGCGCTGCCACACCCCAAGCTGTGCTGGCCAACTGATTGGCAGCATTGCAGCCATCCGTGTCGCAGGTGTAAATGCAGCTGCGATAATCCATGCGATCGCCCTTATTGCGCACATAGTCACAATAGTTGCCCAAATCCTTGGAGCTGCAGAAACGTTTCGCACCGATGCCCCCCTCAAAACGGCCCACATGCTTCACACAGAATGTGGCGCCATGTACGCTGGAACAGTTCTGCGGCTGGATGTCCGGCTGATCGAAGCGCTCGAACCATTCGCCGCACTGGAACGGATTCTGCGTATCGCTGGCATCGCATACGTAACACTCAATGGCCCAGCTGCAGCGCAGGCAGAAGCAGCACCAGAGCAGCGCTGCCAACAGCAGCGACGTTGACATTTTGTCTTGTCTTGTCTTGTTTTGTTGCCTTTTGCTGTGTTACCTTTTGTTTTGTTTTTTTTTTTTTTTTTTTGATGTTTGCTGCTGTTCGATTGCACAATGTAGCTTGATGGAGCGGGGGGCGTTCGGTGAGTTCTGCAATGACGCACTACGCACACAGACACTCTCTCACACACACACACACACAGTGACAAACGATGAGACGCAAAGAGACCAAAGTCGGCGTCGTCAGCAAATGCCAAGCTCGTACTGAAACGTTGTTTTAACTTCGTTTCCATTCGTTTCAGCCGCTGCTGCGAGCGACTGTATTCGTACGTATGTGTGTGTGTGTGTGTGTGTGTGTGTGTGTGTGTACGTTGAGCGCGCTCTTTCTCTCTCCATCTCTTGCTTAACTGTTGTTGTTAGACTCTGCTACTCTAGCCCTAGCTGTCAGCTGTACGGCATATCCTTTTGCTGGCGCCCCCTGGCGCGCCTTTGCGCGTTTCTTTTTATCGTTTATCGAAACTTGTTGCTGGGCAACAGCTATGCAAGGCAACAGGTATGCCGCGTCGACACACACACACACACACACACGCTCGTTGGCTCCCCTTTGCAGTTCTGATTGGAATCTCATTCTCATTGGAGTTGCTATTGGAAACGTCATCGCTGGGTTCTTTGGCGACGTCAGCAAGCTTTGGCGAGCGAGCGAGAGAGAGAGAGAGAGAGAGAGAGAGAGAGAATGGCCCAACGAGGGCATTCAACTTCAATAAGAGACAAAAAAGCACATCACACACTCGCACAACAATACCAACATAGCAAAAGCAGCTTTCTATACCCTATACATATCGAACATATCTATACAAATGGGTAAATTGCTTCCAAGCAGGTGTATGCGACAGGCAAATGTGGGCATGGGGGAGCCCTTTATATGCTTAAGCTTCCGTTAATTCAAGTTAACTCTAAAACCATCGATAAATTCACTTCAAACATATCGATAGACACTTCAAATATATCGAAAAACAATCGATTAAAATCAATTTGGCTAAGTCTGACAAGCTATCTTTAAAGATCAGACTCCAAAAAACCAATGTAAGCTAACTCCAAAACTATCGATAAATTCACTTCAAACATATCGATAACTGACTGCATTTGTAACAATCGATCAAAGTCGATTCGGTTAAATCTGATAAAGATCAAACTTCAAAAAAACAATTTAATTTAACTCAAAAACTATCGATAAATGCACTTCAAACATATCGATAACTGACTGTATTTACCGAAATCGATCGAAATCGATTTGTTTATGTCTGACAAGCCATTTTGAAAGATCAAAGCCGAGGAGTGCTCATGCACAGGCATTTGCCCATGGTGTGCTACAGGGTATCTGCTGTCGACTAGAGCACACTCTAGTTTCTTGTGGCAACGGGTTCTGTTGCCCACCAAAGCCAGTAAATCGGCATTGTCAACGATCTGGCTGCGGCCCATCGCCGGAGCCCACCTTCCGCACCACCCCACCCCATGCCCGCCGCAGCCACGCGGCTGACATTAAACAGGGCCAAGCCTTTAAAGCGAAAAAAAAAATAATATAAAATAAAAATACCCACACGGGCCGTAATTGAAACGATCCACAATCAACCAACATCGGCCACAAGAGACTTCAGGTTTTCTTTTTATGGTTTATGCTTGATTTCAGCTTGGGCCGCGACCCGCATGCGGCATGCGCCATGTGGTTAGCCATTTCTCAATCTTGAAGAGACGACTCCAATTTGAACAAGACATTTCTGTATGCCTTTCGATTGGAAGCTGTATTGCAGACATGTCGCAAAAGCTAGTCCGGTTTTGAACCGAACTGGTTCGCGATCTGAACTCCCTTCATGAACTACCTTAAACAGATTTGGTTCGTGAGCTAAATAACAGCCGAAACATATTTTTATAAATTTAAATTTAAATAAACTGTAAAAGTAAATACACTAAAAGAAGGTTCGCCTTAATATGCAAAAGTTAACTTGTGTCGGGAAATTTTCATATCTACAAAAAATATCCAAAAAAAATTGATTTATAGAATATTTTCTGATACCTTTTTTTGGGTGCTGAAGATTTTCTAAAATGTAAAAACCCATTTTTTTTTTTGAGTGTAAGCTCAAAATAAGAAATCTGATTTTGATGTTCTACAAAAAGATGTTCACGAACTGGTTCAAACCTTGAACCGAACCAGTGACTTTTCGTTCTCAGTTTTGTGTTAGATTTCATTTCTTTGGAATTCATATTGAAATAGTTCAGTTAAGCTTGAGGCGCAACTTAAGTTCAGGCTCCAGTTCCAGTTCCAGCTGAAAACAACTTGTCAGCCTCAAGATTGGGGCGTCCAATAGATAACTCAAGATAAGATTATGATCGTGATCAGTTCAATATACAAAATATATAGAGTCAAGCGTATACAATCTTCGACCATAGATAGATGACGATTATTTCTTGTTTTACAGTCGACAATCGCTTCTAACCCAACCGAACATGCCCTTTCCATAGCTCATATTTCATCTCAAGTATCCATTAGGGAAATATTGTCGTCGTTTTTATGATGCATGTTTTCAGTTCATCAGAGACAAGTCGAAGTACTCGAGATCTGTCAGCACTTCAAAGATCTGCATTAAAATTAACTTAAAGGGCAAAGAGCGACACAATAATAATGCAAAAGTAGATTGAACCGGGCAAGGCCGGGTAATAACACACAATAACGAAGCATATATATACATGCGCTATTTAAAGTATATAATGTATATGCAGCATAATAAACCAGAATCAGGCGATTCAATGTAAACATCGTTATTAGAGGACCGGACAAGGCCGGGTAATGCCCACTGACATCAGTTTACATAGAAGATGATTAACTAGCTCCTGACGAGGCATACATATGCAATTATATAGTACATAACATTATGATGAGCAACTAGAGCCAGGCAAGGCCGGGTAATGTCCACATTAAACATACATGTAAGCCATATATAGACAGGCTAATATATAGTATAATATCATCTAGGATCTGGCCAGGCATATCTAATCATGACTATATAGAGCTTAATCTAATTATCATTTTGATTAACTAGGACCAGGCAACGCCGGGTAATGTATACATATATATTTCATGAGTGTGTGTAGATTCAGGCGAGGCATTGTGGTAGAACCAAGCAAAGCCGGGTAATGCCCACTAAACACATGTACATATGCGTACATATGCGAACATGTAGTACATAATGTAAGCATCGTTTATATAGAAACCTGATCAGAGTCGTCGTCGTTATTGTCCACAGTCTTCGCGTACGTGACAAACGAAACGATCTTGAAGTTCGTGCCGAGGAGTTGTTCAACCTGAAAGAGATGCTGCAAGGCGAATGTTAGGTACAGTGTCTGCATGCAGCCCAAACATATACATACATGCATATGTATGTATATGCATGCATGTGCGCACATGCGGCCCTTTAGTGTGCATGTAGTTCCACTCACAAACGAATTGTGCACTTTGATCTACACACTTGGTGACTTTTAGCCGAGTGAATAATTAAAAACTGCGCCCAGTTCGTGATGCTGCCTGCACACACACACACACACACACACACAGAGAGAGAGAGAGAGCGAGAGAGCGAGAGAGCGTGTAGGCACAGACAACAGAAAAAAGGGAAGCTGCAGTCGCGACGCGCTGCCTGCGTCGCACGCGGAAGCAAAGCAGCAGCATAAAAAGGAAGCTGCAACACAGGAGCGCGACTGGAAATGGAGTGAGAGCAGCTAAGAGAGAGCCGCCAAGTGAGAGAGCGAGCGAATGCATTTGAGTGAAATGAGTGCAAATTGAGCATAAATGCATTTCGAGTTGGCGGAGTGCATTTCGCAGCTTGAGTAAAAGTACGACAGGCTCAATATGAAGTTTCCTTCGAAATGCAAGCCAAGAGACACGCACACACACACACACACACACATGTACGTACGCACTCATAAATCAATGTCACGTACTTGCCCCGTGCACCCGCGCACGTAGCACCCACATGAAGGCAGTTATCGAAATATTTATCGGTTAACGGGCAAACGTGCGACAGACAGAGTGAAAGGCAACGAGAGGCCCGGAATGTAACAGATAAATACATATACATTCACATACATATGCATATGTATGTACATATGTATGCACATATATGGGCAAGCCGGGCTCAAGATCGGGGCTCGGGGCACGCACTTGAATTATTTCAGCTTGTCGAAAGTGGCGCAGTTTATTGTGCGACCATAAAAAGGCCAAGACCAGCAAAAGGCGATCGACAAGAAGAAGCAGAAGAAGCTGAAAAAAAACACAAAAAAAAAACACATGTCGGGAGTGCACGACTAGCAGATTGCCTGTAAATCAATTCGACAGACTAAACAATCTCTGGCTTTAACTAAAATTAAAGTAGATTATAAAAACGATATTTATCGAACAAATTGGAAAATTATCTAATTAAATTAACTAATATTGCAGGTTTTAAAATAAGGCTAAGAATCGATAAATATCGATTCGGCATTTGATGCTCTAAACGTGAAGTCTTTAGCTCTTTGATAGGCTTAAGAGATTGGTTTGGCAAATCGATATATATCGAGCGGGGCGAAAACCAAAAACTATCGAAGCTTTTTAATTACATTTTAGATGTGCTTGTTATATGAGCGACTATATAACAGATTTTGTGCCCTCAAAATCCGAGATATCACGGATAGTTGGCAACCGATATTTATCGATATATATCGATTTGCATCAATCAATTTCTCAATCTCAATGTGGAAGAACAAATGTGCGCAAGAACAAAGAACAAAATTGTGAGCTCCCAACCGACATATCTGACCTTGGTCTATAATATATATACAGATATATATTCCCTTTTAGGCATTTCCTACGTTTACAGGGTATACGAGAAGAAGTACACGCGCCCGCTGCATGATACGACCACATATGGGCCAAAGGGTTCGACGGCTTTTGGTTCGGGAATGATTGAGGTACCGACGACGACAGCGAACCCTATAAATTACGTTGCAACACACGCGCAACACTCGGTGCCCATAAATGTGGTTAAAATGCGAACTGCAACTGCGTTGGCTACCCTAACATAACTGTAATCCGAGCGCAACCACATGGACTGACCGATATGTCGAGCCATCATGTCATTGCCCGAACAGAGCACGAGCCGGGCACGCTGATAGTGTCAGTTGGGGCTCAAATAATGCTATTATATCTTGTCACGTATCCGGGCTATGATCCACTAGCTGCACTAACAGTATTGCCAAACGTCACGAAAAATACATCAAAATTAACTAAATGCGCGTCGAGGGCTCGAAAATAACTTGAGTACACATTTAATATTATTATTATCTTTAAATTTATGAAGGTTATGAAGTGTTGAAAGCGAATTAAATGTATTTGCTGCTTTACAGCACTGCAATTACAGGGTTGCCTTGTTGATTGTCTTTAATATTTGAGGTTAGGTATTTTTCAATTTATAAAATTCCTTAAAACACCATTTGAAAAATAAAATAAAATGGAATTCTTTTTTTTTTTTTTTATTTTTTGAACTAATTATAATTTATAGAGCATTTCAAAGTCAGCTAGCTTACAGTTCAACTCTCCCCCCCCCCCCCCCCCCCACACACACATTGTTCGTAAGTAAAAAGTCGAAAAATTAAATTCAACACCATTTAAATTACCAGTTTTTCTTCTTGCCGCATTTTTTATAGCCCGAAAAAAAAAACGAAAAACAAGCTAAAATAAAAACCGAAAAAAACTTGGAAACAATATACTAAGAGAGAAAAGGAAAGAAAGAAAAAAAAAAACAACTTACCTTTCAAAATGTGACCGTATTGGCGTGACTTTAAATTGAAGACAGGAAAGCGTGGAAAAGGCGAACGCAACAGCAAGAGAACATCGTGAAATTCGAAACATTAACGAAATGTACAAAAAAATAAACACACACATGCATACATGCATGCATGCATACATATGTATGTATATGTATGCATGTAGCTCTGCCCGTAAACCGCAGCTCCCCGCTGTCCAAAACCGCAGTCAAGCACAAAAAGAAGTCAAGTAATCAAAAAAAGAAGAAGAAGCAGCAGCAGTACAAAAAAAAAAATAGACGAAAAAAAAAACTTGTAACCAAGCTGAGGTAAAAGAGCGCAGCTCAAACGAAATACGCGGCTCAAGAGAGCATTGGAGCTGTGCTTAAGGAGTGCTGCAGCGTGTAGTTGTGTGCGTGCCTGAGTGCGTTCAGTCACAATAGCTGCTCCACTTTGTTTATTGAGTGCGCGCACAGTTTAAAGCGAAGCTTAGTTCGTTTCAATTAAACGAAACGCAAGCAACAACAAGAATGTGACTCGCTTAAGCGCGAGTGCGTGAGCGCAGAACGCACTCAAAGAGCGCGCGCAGCAACATCAGCACACACACAAGCGAAGCGGCCAAGACGCGCACGCACACGATGAGCGACAGAGTGAGAGAGAGAGAGAGAGAGAGAGAGAGAGAGCGCGCGCGAGCAAGAGAGTGGACGCGAGAGCGGCTTGAAGCTGAGCTGATTTGCGGTCCAAAACAACAGTTGAGCAGTTCAGTTTTGAGCGCAACAGCGAACGTGGCGCGCGCGTGAGAGATAATTTTTTTTTTTTCTGTTTTTTCTTTTTCAAAAGCAACAAACGAAAACGGAACGAAACGAAACTACGAAAAGCAAGCGGCGGCAGTCGATGGCGACAGCAGCGTGCGCTGGTCCCTGCTCACAACGATAGCCATTCCGGAGCGCACAGTCCATAAGCGAGCTCAAAGCAAATTCATTTTTAACTTCTGTTTTTACGTTTGCGCTGCTGCCGTTTCTTGACATTACCGTTTTATTTCATATTTGTTTGTTATTATTTTTTCGTTTTTTTTTTATTTTTTTTATTTTTTTTTTTTGTTCTTCTTGTTTTGTGGGCTTCTTGATTTTTACACACACACACACACGTGCACGTACGTATGCATCATAATTTGATTTGGTCACAATATTAATTGCTGGGCAATTGAGCAGCACAGTTAGAACGCGCTTGTTTTTTGGGTTTCAGTTGCGCGTGTTCGGCTGCAGCGACTGCAACGGCGACGCGCGCGATTTACGCAGCAGCAACAACAACAACAACAACAACGAAAACAACGTGCAAATAACAATTTTCAATATCAACTAAAATATTATTTAAAAACAACTTAAACAAAAACAACAAAAAAAAAAAGCAGCCCTTTGCAACAAAAACCTTACAAGAGAACCTGTTCTGCTGTCTCTCTTCGTGTCCGTGTCTGTGTCTGTGTCTGTGTCGGTGTGTGTGTGTGCATGCTGCTTATGCAAATTCTTTAAGCGCAGCAACAACAACACTCGCTCGCACACCTGGCAGCTGATTTTGCAGCGCAACGAACCAACAACAACAACAACAACAACAGCAACACACACAATGAAAGTTCAGCTGCTGCTGCTGTGACACGAACAACAAGAACAACAAGAAACAACTGTAAAAGAGACCAACGCAAGGGATTTCGGTTATTCGCGTAAGTCACAATTTTGCCTCTTCCCATTAACAGTCCGAATACGTGTGTGTGTGTGTGTGTGTGTCTGTGTGAGAGTGTGAGTGCGAGAGCGCGAGGTTAAACTTGATAAGCCCTAGCTAAAGCACAGATTAACAGTTCCAATTAGCTGTCAAAGCTGTTATGCAAAACACTTAACAGTGCCAATTGGATTCTGTGCAGAGTTCGATATTAATATTAATGTAACCCCAAAATAAACCCTTAACATTGTTCGGTTAAACAAACATTTTTTATTTTTACTATATTTAATATGTTTCTAATTAAATTAGCTAAAGATTTTTGGCATTTTTGCATTTGACAAGTCAAAAACTAAAACGGTTTTGGGTCACATTTAATTAATTTTTTTTTTAATTACTTTTTGTATATAATTTTAGATATGTATTTATTCCCCTATGTTGTGCTTGATTATATTTAATTTTTTTTAAATTTTGTTAACTTTTGAAATTTACAATTTTCTGTACTTTACGTTTTAAAGTTTGATTATATAAAATTTATTTAACATTTTATTATAGTTTTGAAATGTAACGAATTCTCGTTTATTTATTTATTCCTTGACAATTTATTCCCTCTCATGCATTTATCTTTATCTACATTTATCTGGCATCTTTCTACCAATTAGTCAACTTCCATTTGCCTTCAACTTTTCCATGTCATCTTCTGTTCTTTTATTTTGTTTTTTCATTCTCTTCAACGTTTTTTTAATGCTGCTTCTTAATAACTCATGATCAAAGCGCTTCCCCAACTCCCCAAACACTTGATCTCCAGCAGCCCCCCTTCCGCTCTCTCTCTCTCTCTCTCTCTCTCTCTCCCTGTGTCTCCCTTTCGCTGTGACAATGGGCGGCATTTTGAGCATCTGTAGTTGCTCTGTCTCAAAGATCTTTCTCATTTCTGCCGCTTCTGTTTGTCTGACACTAACCCCCCCCCCCCCCTGCCCTGCTCCCTTTACTCCCTCCGCGGGCAACGGAAATGGTCAATTGAAACCGCACAGAGGCAATGCATTGTTTCGGGTCTGGCTCTACGGTTCGAGCTTGGATTGTCCCGGTCTCTGAGCTGCTCCCTACTAGTTTTTTGGTTTTTTACTGTCTGATTCTCTGCACGCCACTTGCGGTTTTTACGTACCAAGTGCCCAGGGAGAGAGGGAGGGAGGCAGGGCGGTTCTAAAAGTAGTTGGGAAAGCAATTAAGCCGAGTCCCAAGTACAGGTACTTCAATTATTTAACGCGTGTGGAAGATCTTGAGAACAGATTCTCATAGTTCAAACTCAAGAAATTTCCGTTCTTAAGAGCTTTGCTTCTGTAGAAGATAAAGATTTACAGTCTGAAGCTCTTTAGATATGCTTAAGGTTTCGAAAGCTCAATTAAAGCTTTGAAGTAGTCTTAAAGCTTAGCCAAAATTTGGAGCTTGGGTGAAAGCTTCACTATAATCAAAATAATTTAACTCAGAACAACTTTGAATTCATGTAACCAAAAATTAACCTTAAGCAAAATGCTTTGTTTGGCCAAAAATATAGCTGCAAACCCATCAAAGCTTAGCTACAATTGAGAAGTTGCTTGAACTTAAAGTAAATCGTAAATTGAGCAAGACAAGGCTTTAAGAGAACTCACAGCAACAATAACAGAATAATACAGCTTTAACCGAGCTTCCACTAAGCTTGAGCATAGTAAAGCTTTAAGAGAACTTAAAATCAGCCTAATTTAGGATTAAAGCCAAAGCTACTAAAGCTTTGACGTATGGCTAAAGCTATAATAAAGCTTTAAGCAAAAGCTTGTATAGTATACATGAAATCTTGGGCTTTAAAACAAATTTAGCGTACTTAAAGCTCCGTGATGTCTTCCAAAGCTTAACAAGTTTTAAATAAAGCTTGACAACAATCACAAAAGCTTTTAATAAGAAGATAAATTGTCCATGAAGAATATAGAAAGAATTCAAATCATGTCAAATCATGTGGCAAGCGTAAAAGTTGTTGCAACATTGGCATGAGATATGTTTCGAGCTACCCTCGCATTTTCTAATTGAAGTCGATGCCAGCTGCCAGCGGCAGAGTCATACAAGGTAGCCCAACAACAAATGCGAGAGGGGGATGGAGCGTGAAGTAGACGGAGATAGAGAGAGGCAGAGGGAGGGATGTGTATGAGTAAAGCCAGTGAGAGGGGAGGAAATGCTTCCGCTTGGCCAGCTGCTTACCAACAAAGCAAAAAAACAAAACAAAAAAAAAAAAAAACTAAAAAAATGCAACCAGCTAACAAAACAATGCAATTAAATGCAAATGAAAATGCTTTTAAAACTTGTGACGTCACTGGCAAAAAAAAAAAAAAAAACGTGACTTACAAACTGAGTGTGCGTGTGTGTGTGCGTGTGTGTGTGTGTGTGTGTTTTATCTGTTCGTCTCCGCGTCTAACTCGAACTGTATTCATGTTAAGGTTAAACGTGTAAATAGCTCTCAACATTCTAATTGCACGGCAACAAACAAAGTCACCAAATGCGATGCAAATCGTGCTCGAAAATCGTTTAACTCCAGCAGGCACGACTGCCAAATGCCCTGTAAAGTGAGCCAAAACTCTGGCAAGTAACTTTGTCGCTTGGTTTCAAAATCTTATTTGGAATTCCTATTGCAATATATTCAAATTGAGTTCCAAGTCTGCTACGACAAATTCAAAAGTCCAAATTCTCCAATTCCATATACACTTAGTTTTGTCTATCCAAGGCCCGGCCAGAGTTGCATAGCTAATTTCAATCTTCTAGCTCTGGCAGTTACCGAGTTCCTTGAGGTCTCACAGCTGATATAAGATGTGGGCGAGTCAATAAGGTCTCTAGACTCTGCAATAGAGGTCTTACCTAGAGAAAACATCGTAGATATCATACAGATACAGTTTCTATGGATACATGTTTATAAAGTCTGGATGCTGCTTAGGCAAATATTTATGCTAAATGCTTACCAATTTTCCTAACTCTAGCTCTTATAGTTCCCGAGTTCCTTGAGGAGGCATAGCTGGGGAAGGAATCCAATCAGGCCCAACTGTATAGATAATAAGTCCACGTTGCTTGGCTTAAATTAACCAACTGTTACATAGCAGCTGACCGGGTCGTGCATGCCCTATGCACGCATTTACAGGGCATCAAAACGAGAAAAAAAAACTCACGTAAAATGCATTTAAAACTTACGTTTAGCACTGACGACCTTTGCAATGTGACACCTGCATTTGTGTTAGCCCCCCCCCCCCCCCCCCCCCCCTATCTCTGCCGCTTCCCCCCCTCTAAACCACTTGAAGAGCGACTCAAAAATGTGCGTAGAAACAGCAAATTTTTCGCACACAACTTTTGCCCATTGTCCATGGCCTTGACAATGAAAAAAAAAAAAAAAATGTACAAGAAACAACGAGTGGGGCATTGGGGCGGGCGGCTGTGTGTGGGTGGAGAATGATGGGTGGTGGGGGGGTGGTCATTGTTTGGCTGCCTGTTGCTGTTGTTGCGGTTAATTGTTGCGGCTGCAGTTGCAGTTGCCTTGTCGTAGCCAGCGAAGCGTGTGGCATAAACAGGAAAACATTGGATCAAACGTTGGCTGGGCAAACGAGGGGGGTGGGGGAAGGGGAAGGGGGTTGGGGTTGGCGCAGCAGAGCCGTCGCTCGTTTGAGGTGTCTTCCATTTGACAGCAACAGGCAAAGATCGAGTGGGTTACGGCCATGGCTCTCTCTCAAGAGAGAGCTGCTGTTATTTTCCAATTCTGCTTTGTGTGGCATTCTTAAACGTTGCTCGAATTCAAATTGACACCATTAATAAACTAGTTTGTATAACATTGTTAAGTTAGCTAATTGAATTAGTTTATACAATATGATCTAAATTGAAATTGAAAGAATCTAAAGCAGTGAAAAATGACACTCAATTCTGTTGAATAGATCGCAGCTTGATATTGAGGCAAGCGCTAAAGAGAACTAGCTGTTAAAGTTCATGTTAGTTTGGCATGAAGTGCAATTAAATAATACTTTATTAAATTGACAACAGCTCATCAAAGAATTCTCTAAGCAAGTCTCGAATCAATTTCCACTTAACAGCAAGTCTTACATGTTTGACTGCTAGTCTAACTACCAGTCAAATAGTCGACTGAACATAGCAGTAGGTGTCATTGAGTTTGACTGCATGTTAAATAAATTTAACTGTGACATGACGATGCTGAATTAGACAAACTGGTAACTGCAAGTAGATAAAATGACCCTAGACAGCGTTCATGTTAAGTTTAACTGCATGTTGTTATTAACATTTTTGCCATACACAATTTAACAGAGCTTCAAGCGCCTTAAAGCAGTGATGTTAAGCTTAACAGCTGTAGTAAAATGGCATGCTGTTATCAACAATTATGTTACTCACAATAACTGCCAATAACAGGCACTGATGTTAATATTAACAGCATGTAGACCAATCGAATGCTGTTATTAACATTTGTATTGAACAAATGTTGTACAGAGTTGCCGAAGCAGTTATGTTAAGTTTACAGTTGTGGACAAATGGCATGCTGTAATTAACATATATGGTTATCAACTTTTAACAGAGCTGCAAATAACATCAACCCACAGGCTGTTAACTTAAAAGTGTTAAACTTTAAATGAAAATTAACATTTCTGCATAAATGAATATCAAATTTGTAACGCAGTCAAGCGCAACAGCTTTGCTCGATCGTTGACAGTGGAAACAAGGTAGGCTTTAGCGACAGACAAACAGAATTGTATATACCCTCTTTCATCTTGCGTACAGGGTATAACACGTATAAGCTAAACAACTGATTGGTACGTGAATGGGCGCTTAAGTGGCGCTCGGGTCAAGCGTGTAAAGATCGTTGCCATCACGAGTGCATTCAACTCGGATCAATGAGCGAGAAGAGGGAATAAGGGGGGGGGGGGGGATTTGGTGGCAAGTGGCACAAATGCCAATTGGATATTTAAATGATGTCGCATCAATTTCTCGCCGTGCAGCGCATTTGCTTTCAATTGAAATTGAAGCTGTCTGCAGATTCTATTAGTTGATTTATGTTCTTGCTCAATCGCAGACACGCACACACACACACTGCCACACCCTTCGCCCCAAACCCCCTGCCGCCCCCGGGCCAGCCACCTTTCTAGAAAAGCAAACGGTACTTCGCCTCGAGTCGCGTGTTTGTCTTCAGATAGCGTGAGGCAAACAACATAAAAATTTACATTTTTCGGCTGACTTCAATCAGACGCTCGACACGTTTTCCAATCAAGCAAATGTATCGATCACATAGATACTCGCACCACACTCAGATACACAGATACCTTAGATACAGTTACACACAGGTTATCTAAGCATTTCAGTTTCACGACCTTGTTGCACTCAAGACAAGCTGTGGGCTCTTAACATCGCAGGAATTCTGAAACACGCTCTCATTTGGGGTATTCTTTTTTTTTTGCAGCTTCCAAATCGAATTAGTTATCGATAAATCGACAATTTCTCATGGAATCGATACAAATTCGTATATTATTTAGGGAGCCATAAAATAAAAGATACTTGGATTCTAGAAGATATATGTAAATTTTGGAGACTCTAGCTCTTAAAACCTATGAGATTTGCTAAAAAAAAAAAACAAGATTTCTGTACCGATTTTTATCGATTGTTTGGCAACGGGGAAAATTATCGATTATCGGAAACAGTAGGAGAACCTACGAGCAATTCTTCACCCCTTATAGGTTCTGAGATTCTTGCGTTCATAAATATGTACGGACGGACAAACAAACATAGGGACATTCCAGCCAGACCGACTCGTCTTTGGATGCTGATCAAGAATAAATATACGTTATGGTGTCGGAGATGCTTTCTTCAGCCTGGTTCCTGCATTTGCACAAAACTAATATACCCTTTTTATTGAATTGGAATACCATAGATCTATTTGCCAAAGAATTGTATTAGATGAAAAGCTTGCTTGATATTTAATCGAATAAAAATTAAACTAAAAGAATTGTATTAAAAAGCAGATGAGTGTTGGAAAGACCTTTAAAGTTAACTTCTTTGTAAACAGATTTGAGTTGAGATTCAAATAGTAGTGGAAACTTCTAGTACGCGTTCTCATTGCCTACTTGCCAGATCCTTTGTTTCTCGGTCGAGTCGATTTTGCAACACTTTCTTTCACCACCAAAAACAAAAACTTTCTCAACACTGCATTTTGCATACGTTGCCAGATTGATTATAAAATATATTTTGCCATTTCTTTCGTCTCTTTGCAGTTCGATATTGATATGCATCGTTTGCGCTGCCTGATCAACAACAACAAGAAGTACAACAATAATCGAAAGACGACAGAGCACGAGCCGTAAATTAAACGGAAACTCACCTGACATTTTGCAACACTGCCCTGCAGTTAGCAGCAATTTGTTTTGTTTTTGTTTTTTTTTTTGGAATACTCACCTCAGCCTAACTCTTGAGCTCCTTGACCTGCAACTAATACAATAGTGCCAAGATGTATAAGCTGTTGGGTAGCCTGAAGAGCTACCTCAAGTGGCAGGACATCCAGACGGATAACGCGGTCTTCCGTCTGCACAACTCCTTTACAACCGTACTGCTGCTCACCTGCAGCCTGATCATCACGGCCACACAATATGTGGGCCAGCCGATCAGCTGCATTGTGAATGGCATTCCGCCGCATGTGGTCAACACTTTCTGCTGGATACACAGCACGTTTACTATGCCGGATGCGTTCAACCGACAGGTAAGTCTACACAACTCTACACAGATCAATAAATTAAGCAAATTCGTAGGCCACAAGGCTTACCACTCCATATACTAAGTAAATTGGGTATCTTAGTGACACTACAAAGTCGACGACAAGTCTACATGCCATAAAAATGTCGACATAATTCTCCACAAAGTGTATTGTGGGCCTTAGTATTCATATTTAAAGTAAAATAACTTAAAAAGTCTACACAACAGCTAATGTGTCTATACACATACATAGAAGCTGGTTTTCAAAGTCTACACAAGTCTCCAAACACAAATGTGTCTATATTTCTTGCTGATATGCATACAAAATGTACATAACCACTTCAAAATCAGACAGAGTAATACATTTTTTGCTATCCATGATATTTTGAATGTTTCCAGTTGCGCAAAAGTCTCCAAATGCATTTAGTGTGTATTTATGAGTATAAAAGAAAAACACAATTTAAAAAGTGATCAAAATTTATTGTTTATGTGTTGTCATTATGCATGATAGAAAACTGCAAACTTAGTTTAAAGGCAGCTCTACAAAGTCTACATAAGTCTCCAAAAAGCAGTGCTTATATGTTTTTAGCTGTATTTAGCACGATAGAAGGCAGCGACTTATGTAACATAGCTTTAAGCTCAATTTAAAGAAAGTCTACACAAGTCTCCAAAAATTAAAAATACAGTAAATTCACTTTCAGAGTCGCGTAAGCTCGTTTTTCGTAATTATGCATCATTAAAAGCAGCATACAACAAAAAACTAAATTACTCGGCAACTCTGAAAAGTCTACACAAGAGTCCAAAATCATATTCTGTATATTTCGCGCTACTTTTTGTATGATAAAAGGCTGGGAATATGGTAACATGCATTTAAGACTTGTTTTACAAAGTCTACAAAAGTCTCCACAAGTCTCCAAACACTGAAAAAAACCCCATAAATGCACCTTTAAAGTCGCTCAAACTCATTTATAGCACGCTCAAGGCAGAGCTTCACAGCATTTGGTTGGCCTCCTCTCTTCTTCTGCTTCGTTGGCGAACAACTCCAAAGCTTTGCAAGCTTGGAGCGCTGTCCGCGTTGCGACTGTACGCTTCTGTATGCCGATCACGTCCGGCGTTGTCTCATTTGTATGATATGTATTACATGCTGTAGGCCCCGTATATGGAGACTCGCATAAATATGTGCATATTTATGCTGCGGCTATAAAGCAATTATAAACTGGGCGTTGTCGGCGGCCCGATTTAAATTGCGCGCTCCGTGTGACCCAAAAACAAAAAAAAAAAAAAAAACGGGGAGCGAAAAAAAAAATGAAACCGATTAACAACGACACAAAAATTGAATACCCCGCGGGAGCGCAGACGCGACAGGCTTTTGCGTATAGCTCATATTTCAACAGGGGCAGGAAGTGCCCGACGCAGCATTTCTTGATTTCGTGGAACCTTCAGCGCGCAGTCCAACAGGCTGCCGACATCCTTATGCAGGGTACACTGGGCTAATCGAGCGTTTTGCCTGAGCGAAAATATAATCCAAAAGCAGCCATTAGCCATATCTAAATTCTAGGATGGGAATAACTAACATATATAATACTATCTTTAATATAAAATAAAAAGAATTTGTTAAGACTCTTTTTTGAAAAAAAAAATGTTATTCTTTTTGTTTTCATTGAGTGAGCGAATCGTATATAGAATCATATTATATCACAGCGAATCATAGGAATGCCTGAAAGTTGTATTTATTTTTTCAAATCTAATGAAAATAAAATCTATTCATATAGATCTATGTATTCCTCTAAACCAAATAGCACAGACTTGCTGTTCAAGCCTTTTGTAAATTCCATTTTTTTTTTTTTTCGTATTTATTTACAGGTCGGTCGCGAGGTGGCACATCCTGGCGTTGCCAATGATTTCAATGACAAGGATGCCAGAAAGTACTACACCTATTATCAATGGGTGTGCTTTGTGCTCTTCTTTCAGGTAAGCTCACAGCACTTACACTGCTTCTTCTTTTTTTATGCTGCCTACCTATTCGAAAGGCTCCCCCCCCCCTCACCACCCTTTGCCACTTGTGCATCACATTCCCCCCCTTTGTAAGACTTAATGCTGATAATGTTGAAGATCTCACGATTTGCTTTCGATTCTTTTCGTTCTCGTGCTCTCAATTGCGGCGCATACACACACACACACACACACACACACACGCACGCACACACACACACACACACACACACACACGCACACACACACACACACACACACACACACATTCGCAGAGCAAGCTGTACTTCAATGAAGCTTAATTGAGTGCGTGCGTGTTCTGGCTGCAAAAGGGGTGTAAGGCGTGTGTGTGTGTGTGTGTGTGTGTGTGTGTGTGTGTGTGTGTGTGTGTGGCTGAGGCGGAGGCGGGGGTGAGGGCTTGCGCAGCTATCGGCTGCTTTCGGGGGAGGGGTCATTGTATTGCCAAGAGCGCTCAATCAAGCATGATTGCGCGCCAGTTGCGCAACAAGCACACAAACAGCGACAGTTGCTAAACACTAAAGACAACAACAACAACAACAACAACAGCAACAATCACTTGTGAAATGCCAGATAGTGTATTCATATGGGCTAATGACTTGCTAAATCTCTCACAAATTCCAAATCCAAAAGTCAAACTTCAAGTCAAGCTTATGATATTTTGTATTTGTTTTTTTTTAATTTGATTTAATCGCAGCTGTTGACAGCTAACACACGCAGCTGATGAGCTCCAAAATCTCTTCACTCACTCATTAAATACAGATTAGACAGTAAAATCTGACTAAAACGGGCAAAAAATACCATTATCTAATCCTGAAGCTTTTTGCATGAGCTTCAGCAGCTTTTGTAAGCACTTGAAAGCTCTTCAGTTCGACTGAATACCATTTAAAATAGTCTTAGAGTCCTGCTGCTTCTGCTATTACCGTAAATTCTGACTAAAACGGGCAACAATCCGTAGAAGCTTTTCGCTTAGGCTTCAGCAGCTTTTGTAAGCTCTTGAGAGCTTTTGACCTCGACCGATTCCCATTTAAAATAGTCTTAAAGTCCTGCTGCCTCTGCTTGTACCGTAAAATCTGATTAAAACGGGCAACAATCTGTAGAAGCTTTTCGCTTAGGCTTCAGCAGATTTTGTAAGCTCCTGAAAGCTCTTCAGTTCGACTGAATACCATTTAAAAAAGTCTTAGAGTCATGCTGCTTCCATAAAATCGGACTAAATCTGATTAAAACGGGCAACAATCTGTAGAAGCTTTTCGCTTAAGCTTCAGCAGCTTTTGTAAGCACTTGAAAGCTCTTGACTTTGACTGATTTTTACTCGACAGCCAAATCTACCCGCCTACTCTCACCAGAGAGCAATTTTCAACTCCTTCTTTTCTTCTTAAACGTTTAACTGACTTCTCTTCAGCATATTATGTGAATATTCTTGACAACGAATTGCCTTACCCGCTCAGAAGTGTTGAATATATATATATCTACATACAAATGTTTCCCTATTAATAAATTTGCTAATTTAATTATTGCTATATTATTATTTATAGGCAATGGCCTGCTATACGCCCAAATTTCTGTGGAACAAATTCGAGGGCGGGCTGATGCGCATGATTGTGATGGGCTTGAACATTACGATCTGCACGCGCGAGGAGAAGGAGGCCAAACGCGATGCCCTGCTGGACTATCTCATCAAGCATGTGAAGGTGAGTTGGCATCTCAAGAGCCCCGGACATTATCTGATATGAAAACTGATTGCCCGATTGCATTAACAGCGCCATAAACTGTATGCCATACGCTATTGGGCCTGCGAGGTGCTCTGCTTTATCAATATTGTGGTGCAGATGTATCTGATGAATCGTTTCTTTGACGGCGAGTTCATATCGTATGGCACGAACATTATGGGGCTGTCGGATGTGCCGCAGGAGCAGCGCATGGATCCGATGGTTTATGTATTTCCCCGTGTCACCAAATGCATTTTCCACAAATACGGTGCCGGCGGCTCATTGCAGACGCACGACTCCCTCTGCATTCTGCCGCTCAACATTGTGAACGAGAAAACCTATGTGTTCATTTGGTTCTGGTACTGGATATTGCTCGTACTGCTCGTTGGACTGATGATATTCCGGTAAGTAAGGCATATTTTAGGGCACGTGCCTGCTAGCTCCTGCTGTTATTGCTCTGCTCATGTTATTTAACAGCTCTCAGCTAAGCTCTTTTACGTATTCATGTTAACTGCTTAACGTCAATTGAGGCGAAGTTTCTCATTATGTGGCAACGCTGTGTCGTTCAGTTCACAGCAGTGCTGCAAATGTTAACTCAACAGCGCACTGTTAAGCGCATGCTGTTAGCCAACAGTTCGCGATGTACTGTTATCGATCACATTACTTTGCCAAGTGGCAACACTCAACATTCTAGCTGCCAGTTAAAAAACCTAACTGCCCTGTAAATTCAAATTTGGCTCATTTGCAGATGGATTAATGAAAACAAACTTGAACAGGCACTTGCTATTGCGAACTTTGTTATAATACGAACTATTTAATTGCAGCGCCTGCATCATCTTCATGCCCAAGTTCCGGCCGCGTCTGCTGAATGCGCGCAATCGCATGATACCCATGGAAATCTGTCGTTCGCTGTCCCGCAAACTGGACATCGGTGACTGGTGGCTCATCTATATGCTTGGCCGCAATCTGGATCCGGTCATTTACAAGGATGTGATGGGCGAGTTTGCCAAACAGGTGGAGCCCGCGAAGCACGATCGCACCAAGTGATTGTCAAGCATGGCTAAGCACACGAAAGAGACAACGAGCGAACGGGAGAGAAAGAGAGCGAGAGAGAGAGAGAGAGAGAGAGAGAGAGAGAGAGATACAACTGCTCTGGATTATATTCATAATTATTATTATTATTATTTAGCACAAATCATGACAATTAGTTGAAAACCACACACCGAATGCAAAAAGGCAAATGACAATCTTTAGCAATAGCTCTTTGCTACATGCCTACCTTTCCGTTTATCACCCGCCCAAAACTCTTAATCAATGATCACAACTCGAATCATTTCAAATCGCAAGGCAGCCTAAAATGAATGAAATAATTGTTCAAATATTTTGTGAGAAATATTTGTTCAGTTTTTTTAATTATTGAATTTCTTTTGACAAAACGAAGCAAAAATATTTTTTTATTTTTTTTCATACTATTAAATTTAATTTAATATCTAGCATGTATTTATGTAGATCTTAAAAAAAAAAAGAGAAAGAAACACGAGTTACGGCCCAAGAAATTCTAAAAAATATATATATATATATGCAACAATATATATAGGTATATATAATTTTATAAATATATATATATTTGATTCTTATGAAATTAAGAGCAACTTGCAACTGCCAAGCAAAAACTAACAACAACAACAACAACAACAAAAGCAAAAACAACAATAGCAACGCTTCAGAAGGATAATACCATAAATATTATAATAAACATATAAATATTGCTTTTGAGTCTTTCATAATAGATCACATGATCATAATTCATGATAAATCATAAACTATGAAGCGTTTTGCTGGCACATTTACATTTGAAACTGTTTTCAAATCGAACGCAGAAGATATAACTAAATGTTAAGTTTATTGTGTAGTTTTAGGCGAAAATTGCAAGTTTTTTTTTTTATAAAAGTGAAATATATGCATAATACGTATGAAATAAACTCTATATAACTGGCGAAAATCAAGTTGTTTACATATTCAGATATTTGTATATATATTTATAAAGTTTCTGTCAAAAATTTTAAATCTAATTCCTCTACAGTTATTCAAATGGTTTTTTTTTTTTCATTATGTGAGCAAGTTTCGTTCAGTCAATAGTGTGCTCACTGAACGAACTATCGTTAACTGCGTTACGTAAGCGCAATGAGCGCATGCTACGCAAAATGCCCAATGTTAGCCCAAAATGAGTAACGTGAACGCAGAATGCGCAACGTAAATCAAACTGCGTAACACATTAAACTAATGCAGCAATTTTGTTGCAAAACTCAATTAAAAACCTAAAACGAATTAGAATAAGTGATAAAAATGTGATGTCAAGTGTAAGTGCAAGTGCGTTTGTTCAAGCAAACCAAAACAACTAATGCATAAATAAAACTAAAGCGAAATAATTACATATTAAAGTCGCGCGTGCGGGTGTATGCGTGTGCGTGTGTACGTGCGCGTGTGTGTGTGTGCGTGTGCGAAGCAGTTGAAAACGCAGCAAAAATCTACTGCACAGAGCCAAAATAAACGCGCAAAAGGCAACGGGCAAAAAATATAAACATAACACGAATGTGCGAAAGTGGGCGTGGGGACTGGACGATTTTATAGTTATAGCAGCCGATTAGACGTACATATATATATGTAAACATAGAGCGGCGCAATTTTGATTTCTCTTTTGTTTTTATATTGTGTTAATTTGCGCCCTTGCGTGCAAATGTGTGTGTGTGTGTGTGTGTGTGCGTGCATGGAATTTAGCGACGCCTGCTGGCATAAAATTCAACCCCCAATGCCCCCGCCCCTACTTAACGGGCAAAGTAAGAAGAACAGCAACAATGGCAGCACCTCACCACCAAAAACGCCAAGCACCACCCCCTGGCACGAACAGCAGCCCCTGACGAAAACCATGCTGAAAATTGACTCGGTCGAACGAAGGTGATGTTGTTCTTGTTCTTGTTGCTGTTGTTGTTGTTGTTGTTGGGGTGTTAAGCTAAAATAACAAGCAGCAGCGGCGCCGTAATTCAAAAACTGTCGAAATAAAACGGCTCTGCGCTCCACTTGCTGACACTCTCGACTTTCCCGCTCTTCCTCCCTCCCTCTCTCTCTCTCTCTCTCTTTCTCTCTCTCTCCAACGCTTTGGCCGTCTCGCTGTTCCGACACTCGTGCGCATTCTATCTCTCTCTCGCTCTGACTCTCTTGTGACGCTTATTTTGCGGCAGCCAAAAGTTGAGCTCCAAGCGGCCTGTCCTTTATAATTGTATTCGCCTGTGCGTGTGTGTGTGTGTGTGTGTGTGCAAAAGGCATAAATGTAAGCCAAAAGAGCAGCAGCCAACGGAAAGCAAGTTGAAAGCATAAGCAAAACACTTTGAATTCCGTTGGGCAACTCTTCTCTGTTAACTCTTCTCTGTTAACTTTAATGCTAAAATTGATAAATACAAATTTTTCATAAATAAGTTGTTGCGAACATTTTAATTGCTGTTTAGGCATTTGCTGCTTAAAATTTTTGCGCAAATTGTGCGCTGCGCAACACCGGCCGGCGGCCGTTTGGCAACACTGTTAATGTTGTTGCCGCTGTGTGCAACCCTGTGTGCCGCACACGAATGCGAGTGGGAAAGCGTGTGGTCGAAAATCAAGAACAGCAACAAAAACGTAAGATACAAAACGGCTCTCTTTGTATGAGTGTAGCAGCAGCAGCAGCGGTAAAACCAAAAAAAAAAAAAAAAAAAAAGAAACGAAACGAAAAAAAAAACTGCTCGCGGGGGAGCAAAGCAAATTGACAGCAGTAGCTGGCAGCAGGAAAGCAGCGCAGCCGCTAATTTTTGCCGTCGGTCGCGTCGCAAAATCAAATCACACGCTGCGAGAGCAATAAAAAGAAAACGGACAAGAAAAAGAAAAAAAAAAATTCCATACCCAAAAATAACCAAAAAATTTTCAAGTTTGACGTTTTTATGGTGTGTGAAAAACGACACGGGAACAGGGCGAAAAGGAATAGGCCACAAAACCAAAAGCAAAGCTAAAGAACAAGGCGCAAACAGAAGAAGCAGCAACAGAAATTGTAGCAGCAGCAGCAGCAGCAGCATTGAGCGAAAAGCGTGCAAAGGCAAAAGAAGAGAGAAAAAAGAAAAAAAAAAAGGTCAAAATGTGTGTGTGTGTGTGTGTGTGAGCTAGAAGAAGAATCATGGAATCAATGAAAATGGAGCAAATGTGAAAAACTTGTGGAAAAGCTAAAATTAATTTTTTGTTTTTGTTCACGCGCGCGTATTTGCCATTGTGTGCGTGCGTACGTGCGTATGTGTGTGTGTGTGCCAGAGCGAGTGAGAGCGACAAAGAGTGCGGGTGCGAGTGCGAGAGCGAGAAGGCAGCAGGCAGGAAGAGCGAGCAAATGATTTTTGTAAAACGCATTTACTAATTACAAATACAAATACAAAATGTGAACGTGCACACGCACACACACACACACATATATATTTATATAAATATATAATAATATTATATATATATATGTGTGTAAATTAGAAGCGACGACGAAACAGCTACAAAAGCACTTGATGAACAACAATCCGAAAAGGAAATCAATAATAATAACAATAACAATAAACGCTCCCAAGTGTGCAACTCGACCTCCTCTACATCTACTTCTTCTTCTTCATCTTCTTATAGTTGCTGTTGTTGTGTTGGTTTTGTGTGCACCGTGTTTTAATCGTAGCAGCAACAACAAATTATTGAAAGCATAACAAAAGAGAACTAAAAATAATAATCAAAAAAATAAATAAAATAAAGGAAAATAACGAACAATATTAATTTCGGCCGCAGCGGCAGCTAAATAGAAGAAGAAGCAAAAGAAAAAAAAAAAAAAAAAAAGAAAAATGTGGAAAGCCAGCGAATGCGCCGCAGCAGCAGAAGCGCCACACAGCGTCGCATTCGCAGTCGCCGTCGCAGTCGCCGTCGCAGCAGCCGCCGCCAACGCGTGGAAAGCAGCAAAAAGCAACGCATGACCGAACGACGCGACGTTCAAAAGCAAGCGAAACAATTGCTTCAAACTGAAGAGTGCAACAAAAACAACAACAACAACAACAATAATAACAACAACAACAACAGTAAAATAATAATCATAACAAAAGCAACCACAACAACAACAACAAGAGAGGCGTAGAATAGCCGTAGAAGTAGAAAAACAAAAAGCAGAATAAGAAGAAGCAGCAGCAGCAGCAGCAGCAAAAGTAGCGGCAGTTTAACGTGCAATAACTACGAAAAAAGAACGCTAAACGCACACGAAAAACGAAATACAACAAAAGGCAGAGAGCGAGCGCGTGCGAGTGTGTGAGTGCGAGAGAGCGAGAGAGAGAGAGAGCGTCGCCTGAACAACAACAAAGAAAAGAAAAAAAAAACAGACAAAACAAAACAACAGAAGCCGAGCTTTCAGTGTTGTTGTTGTTGTTGTGTTGCGCGTTGCCATGGCCAGCATCAGCAGCAGCATCAGCAGCAGCATCAGCAGCAGCAACAGCAGCAGCAGCGCAACAAATGCAGCCAGCAGCAACGCAACAGCGCTGCCCTCACTATTTGCCGGCAGCAATAGCAACAGCAGCAGCAGCGCCGTCGTTGCCGCCAACGTCGCCGCAGCCGCCGCCGCCGCCGCCGCCAAAGATATGGACGGACTGATTGCCATCAATGATAGCGCATTATCGCAACAAATCGAATTTATACTACAAGATGCTCCCATGGAGCAGGATGACGAGCAACAGCTGCAGCTCAATATGGCAGCGGCAGCAGCAGCGACGGCGGCAGCAGCAGCAGCGGCGGCGGCAGCGGCAGCGTCGAAGCTCGACAACCACCCACCGACAACAAATGCAACAATAACGACAACAACAACAAACAGCGCTTCCGCCTACATCAACCATAACAACAACAACAACATCAGCAGCAGCAGCAGCAGCAGCAGCAACAACAACAACAATAACAATATAAATAACCACAACAACAACAGCCTGAGTGTTGAGGAACATCAGCAACTGTTGCTGCAACAACATCGCGCCCAACAACAACAGCAACAACAACAACAGCAGCAGCAGCAGCAGCAGCAGCAACATCATCTGCTGAACGGGCGACGCATCATTATTCAATCGACAGGCAGCGGCGCCACCTCTGTCCTGGCGGCCAGCGACATCAAGGAGGAGCAACAGGAGCTGGAGGACGAGCCGGAAGAGGAGGAGGAGGAGGAAGATCCGGAGCTAAACGATGAGAATCTGCAGGACATCGAAGAGGAGGCGCAGGCAGCCGAAGCTGATGAGGAGCCCGAAACGGCGACACATTTGCAACATCATCATCATCATCAGCAGCAGCAACAACAGCAGCAACAACAACAGCAACAACATCATCATCATCAACAACAACAACAACAACAACATCATCACCAGCAACAACAACAACAACATCTGCAGCAGCAACATCTGCAGACGCAGGTCAAACTGGAGCTGGACGATATGCCCGATGATGAGGAGGAGGAGGAGGAGGACGAGGATGAGCATATGCAGCAGCCCGCACAGCAACAACAACAGCAACAACTTGAGGTATTTAACTAAGGCACTTAATTAAACCATTTTAATGTGTTTAACTATTTACTATTTGCAACAATAATTGCTTAAGTAATTGAAATTACGTAAAATGGGTTTTTAATTACTTGAGTAATTAACAAGAAAATTCTTGCATGTAGAAGTAATTAGTTAATTACAACCAAGTCCAAGTTATTCTGAATTACGTGAGGAATTGTAAGAATTCAAATAACTACTTGAGTAATTGTTAACTTTTCAGTTAACTTGAAACTTGGGACAGACTTTAACTCTTGCTTAACAAAAAAGTCTGCGAAAGAGTATTTAAACTCTTTTATAAAGTCGCCCGATAAAAAGTCACAGACTAGTAAAGCCTAAGTAAATTATATTATTCTCTGGTAATTGATGTCAATAAAAACGTTTGAACAGCTCTCCAAATATGAAGAACTTCGTAAATAAGTTTTTGTAGTCAATGAAAATGTTTACGAAACATTGTCATAAATAATATAAATTAATTGCTAAAAAAAAGGGAAAAAATAATTCTAAAAGAATCTTGAGTAATTCAAATGCTTAGCTGTTTGTCAAATGCTTCAGTAATTAAAGTGAATTGTCAAAAGTAAATTCAATTAAATCAAAGCACTCGCAAGTAATTAGAATTCTCAGCTATTGCTGTTAGTCAAGCGTATAACTAAGATAATATATTTGAAAATCATTTACTGTGCTTTAAATTCGATTCAATTCATGTAATTAAAATGCTTGTGAGTCTCTCAAGATGTTCTAAAACTAAATATTTAAAAGTAATTACTGAAGCAATTGCTATGTTAAGCTTTAACAGCAATTATCTAATTACTGCTGAGCAGCTAAAAGTAATTAAGTTAAAAAAAGTAATTGAAATGCTCAACTGATTTTAATTACTCAAGTAATTACATACAAATACTCAAGTAATTAAAACAAATATAGACTTAAGTAAATGCAAGCCCAGTTGGTCAAGTAATTGGCAAAACTTTGCACAATTACTCAAGTAATTAAAGCATTCTTACAATTACTCAAGTAATTGGAAAAGTACTTAAGTATTTATTTCTTATTAATCTATAACATTTGTATGCTTATTTGTTTTTATTCTTGGCACCAATTCGAACGCAGTCATTGCAACAACAGTTGGAGTACTCGACAACGGCACAGCAGCTGGTGCTGCCCGCCGGCAGCATTGTGAGCACCACAACGCGCGCTCTGGCGGTGCCCGTTTCGGAGGCGGCGCTGGTTCAGCTGCAGCGACGTCCCGTCTACATAAGCAATGCAACGATGAGCAGCTTGGCGGGCGCCACATATGTGCGCATGCCGGCAGCGGCTGTCATCAGCCGCAGTCCGATGACCGTACTGAATGTGGTGCAGCAAACGGGCGGACCCACCGCACAGCTCATACTGCAGGCAGCCACGGCGGCGGCAGCGGCACAGGCGCCGCCACAGTCACAGTCAGCAGCAGCAGCAGCAGCAGCAACCGTTGCAGCAGCCGCAGCGCCGTCGCCCAGCAACGAGCAGCAGCAGCAGCAGCAACTGGCGGCGCTAGCCCTGGCACAACAACAACAGCAGCAACAGCAGCAGCAACAGCAGCAGCAGCAGCAACAGCAACAACATCATCAGTCCATCAAGCCAGCGCCAGCCACGAGCAGCGTGGCAACATCCACGACCAGCTATCAGTGCATGGAATGCGTGGAGAAGTTCGATTCAAAGGAACTCTTTGATATACATCGCAGCGGGCATGCAAACAATATGAAGTGCGCCATCTGCAATATGGTACTGAAATCGCTAAAAAACTATGAGAAACATTGCCTGCGCTGCAAGCCGTACGAGTGCCAGATATGTGGGCGTGTTGTGCGCTTTCGGCCAAACTTTATAAAGCATATGCGCGTGCATACGGGCCAGCAATCGGAAAGGCATAAATACAAATGCGAGGTGTGCCACAAGGAGTTCATGAGCTTTGAATACTTCAAAGTGCACAAGAAGATACACAACGAGAACGTGAATCTCACCTGCGAGATATGCGGCAAGGTGTTCAGTGCGCTTGCCTCGCTGCGCGGCCACTCCAAGCTGCATTCGGGCGTCAAGCTGCACAAGTGAGTGATGCAATTGATGCCAACTAATATAATTCTAACAATTCTCTCCCCCTATTTACAGATGCGATGTGTGCGGCAAGGGCTTTGGTCAGCGCTATAATTTGAAAATACATGCGCGCACGCACACGGGCGATTTTCCGTTTGAGTGCAAGGTGTGCAAGAAGAAGCTGCATACACAATCCTCGCTGCAGACGCACATGCAGGTGCATTTGCGGGATCAGCCCAAAGGCAGCGCCGCCGCCGCCATCAGCAGCAACAGCAACAGCAGCAATGCCGCCGCCGCCGCCGCCGCTGCCAGCAGCACCAACAACAACACTAACAGCAACAGCAATGCTGTTGCAGCTGTGTCAGCAGCCAATGTCAAACTGGAACCGGATCTGGAACAACCCGGCACCAGTCTGCAACAGCAGCAACATCTGCAGCAACAGCAACAGCAGCACGATATGGACATGGATGATCAGTCTGGCCTGAGCGATGAGGAGACTGAGAGTGCTGTCCATAATTTGACCAATAATCGTTTAACCACCGGCGAGGACTCCTCGAATGAGTCCTCATCGAATGCCTCGCTACAGCAGCCGCACTCTTCCTCAGCCAGCTCAACGCACTCGCAACAGCAGCAGCAACTGACGCAGCCGCAACAGCAGCAGCAACAGCAACAGCAGCAGCAGCAATATATTGTGTCCACGCCCACGCGCACCATTGTCATCAAGAACTACGTGCAACAACAGCAGCAACAGCAGCAGCAGCAGCAACAGCAGCAGCAGCAATCTTCAGAGCAGCCAACTGGCAATGGCAACTGCTCGAGCGTGCTGCACACACAGGTCATACAAAGCGGTGCAGGCACCAGCAACGGCCATCACATCATCAACGCCAACAACAATGCCAGCAACAACAACAGCAGCAGCAGCCATACAAGCAACAGCAGCAACGGCACCAATCACAGCAACAACAGCAGCAACAGCACCAGCAATGTTGCAACACAAGCCACGGCCAGCAATTTGGCGCAGCAACTGTTGCGCAAAACGCCCATCATACACTCGACAGGCACGCTTAGCTCCGCGCTGGCCAGCGTGGTGCAGCAGACGGGTGGTAAGTAACGAGTAGCGAGTAGCCAATAGCAGGGGCGTGTATGAAGCTGTTAGAAAAATGTAAAACTTGTATGAGAAAAAGTTATGCAAGAGTAGCGAGTGACGCGTAGCAAGTAACGAGTTAAACACAGCGAGTAGCAAGAGAGGCAACTTGAGAAATCTAAAAAAAAAATGTAGAAATTGTAAATAGTTTAATTTGAATGAGAAAGTCACTTGCGAGTGGCGAGTAGAAAGTAACGAGTAGCGACATACATGCAACGAGTGGCGAGTAGAATGTAACGAGTAGCGAGTGAATAGTAAATGTGTTAGATCAGAGAAAGAATATATAAAACTATTAACACATAATTTGATTTGAATGAGAAAAAATAGTAACGAGTAACAAATAGCGAAAACCAAAAAAAAAAAAAGGCGGCCATTTATTAGAACAGAAATTTAAAAAATAGAGATTTGTACAGAAACATGTTAAAGCACTATATAAAAATGAAAAGCAATGTACGAGATTCTAAATGACAGAGAAATTAAGCCTTACACAGAGCCCAAGAGTATTAATTTTTGATTAAACACTTTGTTCAGCTTCCGATCGAACATACAATTTATGGATTTATCTTGTAGATTCTCAAATCTGAAATGATTTATACTAAAAGATCCCGAAATCGAACATTGCAGCTGAACTTATGATTGATTTGATTGGTTTTTATTCTTCTTCTAGTTGGTTCGCCGGCGCAATCGCCATCATCATCATCCACATCGTGTTCCTCCACCGTGCTGGTGTCCAAGGCGACGGGTGTGCCGTTGTCGATTGCCTCATCGGCGGCGCTGGGCGGCTCCACAATAATTCGCAGCACGCGCAATCATCATCATCATCAGCAGCAGCAGCAGCAGCAGCAGCAACAGCAGCAACAACAGCAGCAGCAGCAGCAGAGCAACTGCAGCAGTCTGCGAGTTGTGACTGGACAGCAGCAGCAGCAGCAGCGTAATAACCACCGAAATCACCACCGACGTCGTCATCTGGCGGACATGGATGACGATGATGATGATGACGATAATGATGAGGATGAGACTAGCGCACAATTGCGCGCTGCCACCAATGGACATCATCATCATCATCATCAGCCGCAGCAGCAGCAGCAGCAGCCGCATTCGCAGCAGCAACAGCAGCAGCAGCAGCACCTGAATCAAAATCATAATCATGGCCATGGCCATAATCACAGCCACAACCACAACCACAACCATCATCATCATCATCACAATCATTTCGATGATGATGATGATGATGAGAAATCATCACCGTCCCTGGCAACAGCTGCCATTATCAAAGTGGAACCGAATCTCTATTCATCCGGCTCCGGCGATAATTCCAACGACATGTTCATCAAAGAGGAGGTCATGTTCGAAGATTCAGCCGCACCACATTCACCCCAATCGCCGCCCAGCTCCAAGTTTCGCATCTCGAACTTTGATAGCGATCTGGTTGATCATCATGTCGATCTAAATCATTCGCTGCCGCCATATGGTAACCTCTTTGAGCCGCACTCAATACCCGACAGCATACCCGTACAGCTCTATCCGGATGACGATGATGATTTTCGTTTGGATCACAGCTCGCTGGGTGGTCTGCACAATACCTCGTCCTCGACCACCGATGGCGATTTCATCAAAAAGGAATGGGTATACGGCAGCGGCACCAGCAGCTATGCCATGAATGGTAAATTTGATGATGACAGCGATGCCCTCTGCGATGCCGCCAATTTTATATACAATTGAGTCGAACGGCATGACGCGGCCATCTTCACATGTCTACGCCAACAAACGGGAGCAGCAGCTGGGGATGCACCTGCAGCAACAAATTCGAATTCTTAACGCACACACACACACACACACACACACGTGCAGCACATGTTGGTGTGCATACATCTATATATATATATATATATATATATACCAGTCCCCATGTATCCTTAATATATATATATATATATATCTATAGATATATATGTATGTGTTTAGAGAGAGATTATGTTTTTTTTTCCTTGTATACACATGTATATTTATATATATACACGTATCTAATATATATATATATATATGCATATGCATATATGTATATGTATATGTATAGTAATTTGCTATCTCTGTCGCGCTCGTGATCTTAACGTGATCTTAAACTAAATCAATGTGTAAAACGTATTTGTAACTGTATTTTGTAGTTGTTTCTATATAATTGAAAAAAAAAGGCAAAAAAAAAAAAAAAGAAAACCAACAAAAAAAAATAATGTATGAAAGCAGCAACTGCTCTGCTAGGATGTATGAGAATGTTGCAAGCTGTCTCTTTCACACACACACACACACACTCACACAATACCATGCCTACAGTGTCTGTCTGTCTCGCTCACTCTTTCTCTCTCTGTCTCTCTCTCTCTCTCTCTCTCTCTGTGTCTGTCTCTGTCTCTGTGTGTCCTTGTCCATATCGTAAGCAACAAATTGTTTTGAACTTTTCTTAGTTTTAGCCTACTTGTATTTTGTTTAAACTAATTCTCGCTAAATGCCTTAACCCCCTGCCCACTCTTTCACTCTGTCTCACTCTCTTTGTGTGTCCATTTGCTTTTGCGCTCTCTTTCCTTAACTTGCACGCCTTTCAGTTTTGTTAGCTTTGATCTCGCTTACAGTTGATTTTTGATTTGTTGACTATCAACCAAGTTTTTGGTCCTTATCTCACACTCAACCTATTGACCCCCCAAACCAGGTGTGCCAAATGTTTGTCCTTTCTTTATTTCTCTTCTTTTTCTTTGTGTTCAGTATTGTTTTTCGGCCCCGAAACCAAATTTTGTTGAATTAAGATTTCTAAACTTAGGCAAGAGATCATCAGGAAACGCGTTCCAAAAAGAAAAAAAAAAAAATAACAAAACAAAACAAATTCTCAAATATATATAAATATATATTTTTTTTGTCAGTATTTTTTGTTTAAATACTTTTTGTGCTAGCCAACCTCAGCTTCTCTCTCTCTCTCTCTCTCTCTCTCTCCCCCTCTCTCTTTCCTTATCTATATATTATATTATATTTAGTTGATAATATTTTCTTCTTCCTCCGCCCGATCTTATGTGCAATTCTCACAACATGCCCACAATGCCACGCCCCACAAAACTAACTTTGAAATTTTGCTAAAACAAAAAAAAAAAAAAATTATATATATATATATTTAACAATTCGTATTATGATCTTGAACAAGAAGAAGAGTTCGAGAACTCTAGCAAGTTTTTGTGCTTTAAAACTTAAAATTGAAATTATTGTGGTTTCCTTAATTAGCTGCTAAGTTTTAATTTTAATTAATTTCGCATAAACACACACACACATACACCTACATATACATATATACACACATATTTATATGCTACTTATATATGTCTAATATAATATTATATGTAGAGCGAGTTATATTTAAGCGCCTATTTTTTTCATAGTCATAAGCTCGAGAGCATGCTTTATATATACACACCCACACGCGCACACACACACACACACATATATATATATATATATATATATATAGCTTATATAATATTTATAGCTACGTTCTTGATTTTAACATATATAATACCTACAATATATGTTTATATATATATATATATATATATATATATATATGTATGTATGTATATAGAAATATATACAAATTGATTTTCTTTGCATTTAATGAAATTTTAATTTGTTTTGCTAATTCGTCTAAATAACACGTTTTTTTTTTCTAATTCCTCTGTGTTGTTGCTGTTTTTTTTTTCTTTTTGCCCATTTTGTTTTGGAAGCATGTACATTTTACTCCGAAAAAAGAAATTGAAATATATATATATAAAAAAAAAAGAAGAAAAAAGCGTAGTATATATCTAACAAAAGTATGCTACATATATACCATATGCGACATACGTGGCTAGTAACGTTTACGAAACAGCGTAGAAACGTTAAAAAAAAAAGAAAAGAAAAAGAAAACCAGAAGGAAAGAATGGAAGTTGACAAGTTTTTAGCGCAAATTGAAACTAACAAATTTATTCACAGCATTTAATGTTAACAAATAACAAAAAAACAAAAAATAAAAAAAAAAAAATGAATAGTTGTAAAACAAAGCAGAAGCATAATTATCTCAATGTTCGTTTTCCAATTGGACGCAATCTTTAATTTACGCAAAACAAACGTTTTTTTTTTTTTTGGGGACCTGCCTGAAAAAAAAAGAATATAAGAAATCAAATAAATTTATATAAATATATATAAAGCAATTATTATATAATTATTACGTAGCTGCAAAATTAGCCTAATAGTTAACAAAGCTAACACACGCACTCACACACACACACACACACACACATGAAATGTTTCTTTTTCGTTTTCGCTTTGTTGCGTCATCCTTAAACGTTTTGTTGATGTCGCGCTGCGTCGCAAACAATCCTTAAGCATAATCATGTTTGTTGTTGCCCAACTTTTGTTTGTTATGCCTAACGTTAATGTTTATTATTGCATTTGAGCAATATCTACACACACACACACACACACACAGCTGCAAGCACTTATATATATCAATGTAGATATATATATACCTTGTAATTTCTTAAATCGCATTTTTAGGCTTGTTTTTATTTGCGCCTTGCTGGCTTTTTGTGGCATCCAAAAGCCAGGCTCGTGCTGTGGCTCACACACACACACCCTCTCACACACACACACACCCCCCCACACACACACACGCGCTCTTTAAAAAGTCTTCCGCACCGACTTTAGTTGTGTTTTTTTGAGACGATTTGTTAGAGAATATATACGTCTGCCAGTTGAAACACGCATATATTTAATAATTGTTTAATAATGAACAAAAAGAAAATGCAAACATTTAGGTTATAAGCGAGATTGACATTAACGTTGAACCCAGCACGAACGTGCCAGCTTCGGTATACCGAAGCTCTGAATACCCTTGCAGTCATATTCAAAAGATCCCAACTCGAATTTGGCAAACACCTAAAAGCTTAGCAAGTTTTTCCTGCAAAGTATTTAAAAAATGTCCATCATTTTGTTCGAAAAATAGCTAAATGTAATAGTAAAGCAAGAAAGCTAAACGATATGACAAAGAGTAAAAGGCTAAATGATATGACAAAGAGTAAAAAGCTAAATGATATGATAAAGAGTAGAAAGCTAACTGCTATGGTAAAGAAATAAAGCTAACTGCTATGGTAAAAAAAGAAAAGCTAAATCAAGAAAAAAAAGCTAACTGCTATGGTTAAAAAATAAAGCTAAATGCTATGCTAAAGAGAACATAGCAAAGCGATCAGCTAAATCATACGATAAAATGTTTAAAGCTAAAAGATGAAAGAAAGCGATAAAGCTAAATGCTATAGTAAAGTCAAGTCCCTATCGACAAGAAACCCTTGATAATTATAGAAGAAAGCGACGCTAAAGGATCTGTGTTGTCATGTTGACTGCAAGGGTATACGAAAAGCATCCATCAAAACTCAAAGCAATTACAAGAATTCGAATGAAGAAAACAGCACTGCCCCAACAGGAAGAGAAAGAGAAAACAAAGAGAGAGAGAGAGAGAGAGAGAGTGGGAGAGTGTGGCAGAACCCCGGCACATACACCTAAAATAAAAAATTTCATTTTTTCCAATTATACACAAAAAAAAAAAAAACAAAAAAAATTAATTCAGAGAAGAAAACAAATTTATTTTGTATATGAAAAATCTATTTTATATACTGTGACTAGAAGAAGAAGCAGCTGCCAGCGGTGCAACAACAAGAAAAATATATATAGATATATAAAACAAAACTTAAGCTGTATCTCGCCCCACTGTACACACACACACACACACACACACACACACACACACAGAAAAACCCGCCCGCAACAGCCCACAAAAGCCAGACTTTGGGCAAGCCGAATAAGTGGAAGAAGAAGAGGAGTAAGAACGCCAATGCAATATCTACGCAATTCTCACATCCAAAACACAAACAAGAAGAAGAATTAAACAACAACAACAACAAAAACTCAACGACTGCGCACACAAAACGTGAACAAATTTTTTTGTATTATAAAAAAAAAAAAAAAAAAATTAAATTCTCTTAAGTGAAAAAAAAAAGAACCTAACTTTAAAACCAAGCGAGCCGAAATGGAAACAGGAAGCGAAGAACTATTTTTTAAGTGTAAACCAAGCCTCAAATTAAAAAAAAAAAAAAACAACTAAATATTAATAAATCAAGGCTTGGATGCCAAATTTTTCAGTAATAAATAAAAAAAAGTTAAAGTCAAGCGTAACAAGAAATTTTTAAGGCATATACATATACATATATGTACAAATACACGCACACACAAACACACACACACTGAGATTCGCGTACACGGCGAGGAAAAATATGGCAAGTTATTTTTTTTTTTAAATTTTTTAAGCCAAAAGTTTTTTTTTAGAATTTTCTTAGAGCTGCAGAAAAATAACGAAACTCGACGCTAAAATAGTGCCACGCCCACTTAAGGAAACACACACGCGCACACTGAGAGTCGCCTACACTGAGAGAAAATTGTTTTTTTTTGTTAACTCATATTTTTTTTTAGATTTTTTTTTAAAGTGAAAACCTGCCGAAAAATTGGGCACAAATTGAGAACGTGAACAGAGCCCGCCCCTAAACTAATGCCACGCCCACACACACACCCACACACACTTTAGACGAAGCGCAATATTTTATATTCTAAATGCAAAAAAAAAATAAGGAAAAAAAAAAACTTAAAAATAGGAACATAAAAGTTGAGGCAAAAAAAAATATATATATCACAAATCAATTTTTTTTTTCTATATATTTATTTTTTTTTAAGTAAATGTACCTAAACAAAAAAAAACACAAAAACTTAATTG